ATCTTAAATATCAATGTAGTAAGAAATCTTAAGCTGAAAATCACACAAAGTAACTGAGTGACAATCATCTGACTTAGTCTCACCCCTACCTCACTAAATACTTTGTGCCGTTTCTCTCTCTCTTTTTAAGCCAAATATTAAAACTTTTTTCATGAAAATTTACTACGCCACCCTTGCAGGAACTGCTTTACTTTCTCTCCTACGTGCAGCAGGACTATATACTGTAGCACTCTCAGGGTGGACTATCAGACAGAGAATCTCAATTACTGGAGCATTTTGCTTAATTATCATCATCGTAGCCGGAATAATAGTTACTAACAAAAATAACACATCTGTCTTTCCAAACATGTGCCTCTGCCTCTCATTGAGAAAGAAACGTTGCTTCTTTCTCAATCTGTCAGTCGTAGTAAGAGACACTGCCAAAAAACTTAAAGGACTAAAAGGTTAAGCGAATACCAAAACCACCGAATAAGTTATTGGTTTGGGAACAAAAATCATACCATGGTCATCTCATTCCTGGGCCTCGCCTAATAACATGCCTAGGACTAACGTTTCTACCCTGCCTACTTAATCTTTTTCAAAGATTCTTAACCAACAGGATCATGGCTATTTCACAGACAACTACCCAAAACATCTACAGCATTGCTCTTGCAGTCAATCTGAGGCCAAAGGACTCTCTAAGGTCTTTATCTAACTATGGGGTCTGGAATGACAGAGCAGGAGCACTTGGACGAATCTCACCACTTTAAGTTCCAGTTCCCTTTCTAACCTCATGCATTTCAAGGAAATCACTTCTAACTAAAAGCAGCCAGAAAGAGCAGACAGTAAAACACTGATGAGACAGCATGGGTACAGAGGGAGAGGGAAGTAACCACCAAACTTCACACTCACACAATGGGCCCAATTAAATCAGTGGGCCCTGGTAAGCACATTCCTTTCCCTTTAGATGCACTAAGATAGGCAAACTAAAAGCAGACTCGGGGAGTATGCATGCAGCTGCAGGAAGATGTATGGAAACAGATACACAACTCTCCCTCCCAGATAAACAAGACAAAGAGATACAGAAACATTCTGAGCCTCTAATAAGCTCTTCCACCCTTAATCCTTAAATACTGTTAATCTGTAAGAGACAGTGCCTCTGACCTAACTCTGCCAGAAGCCCCTCTCAGGTTTATTCTCCTAAATAAACCTGTCTTTGAGTATTGAGCTGCTTTTCATGATTCTTTCCGATTTAGCGTTTTGTCTTCTTTGAGATGGGAGTCTCTGTTGCCCAGGCTGGAGTGCAGTGGCATGATCTCGGCTCACAGCAACCTCCGCCTCCCAGGTTCAAGCAATTCTCTGCCTCAGCCTCCCAAAAGTTTGAGATTATAGCCACCTGCCACCATGCCTGGCTACTTTTTTTATATTTTTAGTAGAGACAGGGTTTCACCATTTTGGCCAGGCTGGTCTCGAACTCTTGACCTCATGATCCATCACAACCAGCCCTTTCTTTAACTCTTACACTATTCCGCCACATTCCTCGGGCACATCCATTGTCACGTGGACGTGCTATATTCCAAACTGCCTTTCAAAGGGACCTTGACTAAGCTCAGAAGAATTTATAGCAGCTCCTTCTCTAAGGAATTTCAGTGCTGCGTCTCTGACTTTTGTTACCCTCACACCCTGACAAACTGCCTACAGGAGGATCTACTGAAAGATGATCTAGTATGGGGGTGCCTTTGGCTGCCACCCTCATTTTGCACATTAGGATAGTAAGGTCAAGGAAACAATCTTTTATAAGCCTAAGACACCCCAAGGCTGTGGCATTTGGTGAAAATGGCTACCTGATTCAGAGCACTCTGGGTTTGTTTTTTTTTTTGAGGCTTAGTTTCACTTTTGTTGCCCAGGCTGGAGTGCAATGGTGTGATCTTGGCTCACCACAATCTCTGCCTCCTGGGTTCAAGTGATTCTCCCACCTCAGCCTCCTGAGTAGCTGGGATTACAGGTAGGCACCAACATGCCTGGCTAATTTTGTAATTTTAGTAGACAAGAGGTTTCTCCATGTTGGTAAGGCTGGTCTCAAACTCCCATAACCTCAAGTATTCCACCCGCCTCAGCCTTCCAAAGTACAGGGATTACAGGCATGAGCCACCGTGCCCAGCCTTGGGGGTTCGTTTTGTGAGGGAGAACCCCTCCACGTTCTGCCAACCACTCTCTAGAAAAAATAGCTTCTCTAGAAAAGGAAGCCTGCAGCTTAAAGACTGATTCCAAAGATAGCTCTCATAACTACATAAACTCTGAATTTGCAGCTGAAGCTGAGGGTCAGCATGATACGACTGAGGAACCCAACAAGGTCCAGCAAAGGAAGAGGGATAGAATTTGAGATCAGGGCTCCGCATGAGCTGCCTGAAGGCTAACCAGGGCATCCAGGGGAAATCGAGGCCAAAAAGTCAATGAGAGGCTGTCACTAGGGCAAAACCAATCATAGCAGAGTGTCCCAGTTGTGGAGAAAGACCAGCTAGGAATGAAGGAACAGGAAAGACTGAGAAGGAACTGCCAAGGGTGTCACAGTCACCCTTGCTCAGAAGGATTAAGAGTCAGTCCCAGCGGGGAGTGGAGGAGGACCAGACTATGCCAGAGAGGAGCAGCTTCCATGATGGACAGTAGCTACAGACCCTCAGGACAGACCCAGTGAGCAGCCACCTGGGGACCAAGGGACAGCCATTGACACCTCTAGAGTTTATGGATGACTCTCTCATTTAGAAATCCAAAAGCGTAAAGGCAAGGGGGTGGTGAGAGAGCACCCCTCTTCAGGGAGCAACTGGTCTGATGTGGAGATTTCCATGCTCACATTCTCTCAGGAGGAACCTGTCTCGCTCAAACCCTCAGCTGTTCCGGAGCCTTCTCTCATCACTGTGTCATGTACCCGCCTCGTTTGCACAGTAGTCCTTGGCGTGAGTATGGCAGCTAGTGTGCCAGCCGCCCCAAGCCTTCCGGCTACCCGTCTGTGGGCAGCAGCGACGACGCAGCACGGGCTGGGAGGAGCAGCCGGAGCTGCCTGGTGATTCCCCCAACTCTGCAGTGAGCTCCCAAAACACCTCCAGAGTTGAGGCCTCAGAGGATGGCAGGTCCCACAATTCTCATCCATTTAACTTCTCCAGAACTTGGAAGAAAAAGAGGTGAGGGAGAAAAGAACATTCCAAGAGGAGACGCCACCACATCCTTGTGGAGGACACGCATCCAGCTCGCTGCCAAAGAGCCACTGGAGCCAAGCCTAGAGGAGGGCTTCATAACATCCATTGTCACTTGGACGTGCTATATTCCAAACTGCCTTTCAAAGGGACCTTGACTATGCTCAGAAGAATTTATAGCAGCTCCTTCTCTAAGGAATTTCAGTGCTGCGTCTCTGACTTTTGTTACCCTCACACCCTGACAAACTGCCTACAGGAGGATCTACTGAAAGATGATCTAGTATGGGGGGGCCTTTGGCTGTCACCCTCATTTTGCACATTAGGATAGTAAGGTCAAGGAAACAATCTTGTATAAGCCTAAGACACCCCAAGGCTGTGGCATTCGGCGAAAATGGCTACCTGATTCAGAGCACTCTGGGTTTGTTTGAAAGATGATCTAGTATGGTGGGTCTTTGACTGTCACCCTCATTTTGCAAGGAAGCGTTTTTTTTTTTTTTTTTTTTTCTGATACAGAGACTGGCACTGTCACCCAGGCTATAGTGCAGTGGCACAATCTCGGCTCACTGCAATCTCCACCTCCTGGGTTCAAGAAATCTCCTGCCTCAGTCTCCCAAGTAGCTGGGACTACAGGTATGCACCACTATGCCCAGCTAATTGTTTTTTTGTGTGTGTGTTTTTAGCGGAGACAGGGTTTCACCATACTGGCCAGGATGGTTTTCATCTCCTCCTCTTGACCTCGTGATCTGCCCGCCTCAGCCTCCCAAAGTGCTGGAAGTACAGGCGTGAGCCACTGCACCCAGCCAAGGAAGCAATCTTTTACATGCCTTAAGACACTCTGAGACAGTGGCATTTGGAGAAATCGGCTTTCATTATTCCTACAAGTGCACCACCCCTGTCCCAGAACAGCACAAGGTATTTGAGAGACAGCTACAGCCGGCTGTGTCTCTAAAGAAGCTCTTAGTGATCCACTGTCAATAAGCTGATGAAGAGCTGTTGGACATCTTGAGAAAACATGTGTCCTCTGACTACAAGATCCATAAGCACTACTTCACCGGCAGCTCCCCGGCCATCAAACTCCTGCTTAAGTACTTTCTCAACAGGTCAGTGGGCCTCAAAGCAGACTTGACATACTCGTCCGCCTGGGAGGCCCGGGAAACACTGAGGCAGCTCCCACTGGAGAGAATCATTGTGGAAACGGATGCTCCCTACGTCCTTCCTCGCCAGGTTCCCAAAAGCCTTTGCCAGTATGCCCACCTGGGCCTGGCCTAGCATACAGTCCTAGAGATTGCTAGGGTCAAAGATCCACTCTCCCACACTGCGGCCGCTTGGCGGAGAACACCAGTTGCCTCTACAGTTTTTAAGCAGAGAGGCTCCAGTCCTCAGAAGCCTCCCAGAAAAGGGCAACCAGATGGCTGTGTCCCAGGTGGAGGATGTGTTTGGAGGGCCGATTGGAACACAGAAAACCAGGACGGGGTCTTTTTCCTTGACGCAGGTCATGCGGCTCCAGCTTCTGGGTGTGCAATCAGGGGTAAAGGAGTACCCGTGATAGCACTGGGGTTTTGCCTCCCAGCCAAAATGCTCCAGGGTAGGAGCAATGGAGGAGTGTGACGTGAGGGTACAAGGAATTTGCCAATCCAAATCCTGTTCTCTGCAGCCTGTGTTTTTGAGCAGACCGTGACTAAAGTCACCCTCCTACTTGTCTAAAAAAAAAAAAAAAATCCAAGAGCTGACTTTGAGAAACATAAAAAATCTAAAAAAAAAAAAAAAAGAGAGAAAGCAAAAGCAAAGCACAGTGAAGGGGTATAAACAGGTATATATATGGATCAGTACTATCCGAGCCCACAGGTAGTAACCGGGGGGGTATAAGCAGGTATATATATGGGTCAGTATTATCCGAGCCCACAGGTAGTAACTGGGGGGTATAAGCAGGTAAATATATGGATCAGTACTATCCGAGCCCACAGGTAGTAACCGGGGGGTATAAGCAGGTATACCTATGGATCAGTACTATCCGAGCCCACAGGTAGTAACCGGGGGATATAAGCAGGTATACCTATGGATCAGTACTATCCGA